TCACCTACGCACCCCAAGCTCGAAATAGCCATAGAAGCTCTTCTTCCTATAATAACATAGAATTCATTGTGTATAGGTATCCCGATAATGCCATATACAGGCACTAAGCCCAGTCTACTGATACGATAGTGCATCATATGCGTAAACCTGGCATACAGATGAATCTGTCTGAATTCGAACCTAAAACCCATAATCTTTAAGTGTCAGACAGAATAGGCATATCATACTGACTACATATCGTTAATATTCGGTATCTCTAGATAGATGTTTGTGCACTTTGAGTATTGGTCACCGGCCTTATACTACATACATGCACTCAAACCCCTAGGGCATACTTAGTTATGTTCACGAACTCGAGAGTAGTTAATTTTGGATATTCTGATATATTCACGGCGCTTAGACCGATCATTCTTAGAATCGGAGATTTGGACATTCAAAAACACAACTTTAACTAAGTCCTACGTGTTCAATTTGGATCCTAAACGAGTATGCCGCTAGTTTATTTTATATATCATATCTATATGTAGATTTTGAAGGCTGAAACGAGGTAAATGATCTGCAGATCTGGCATTAATCATAACATAGAGCAGTATGACGTGTTTCACCGGGAAAGCGATCGTCACCGGGAAAGCAATCAAGGGTGACAACGGGATGATCCAAAGTTGCTGAAGAAAGTCGAATTTATATACCAAGTAGCCAGAAGTGTTATTTAGATGTCTCCCAACTATTTTTGACATGATTTACCCCTATGTAGGGGGAGTACTGTTTCAGAGAGATCGTTGACTGGGTTAGGGAGTGCAAGCTTTATCGACTTTACCAAATTTTAGTTTATATTCATTATATAACTCTAGGATTTATAAAAGACACACTGAACCCTTTTATGTGTGCCTGCCTTCATATATTGTGTTTTGATGCCCACAACCTCGTTTTGTAAGATTCGGTTGCTTTCCCGGTGATGATTGCTTCCCCGGTGAAACACGTTATAAGTTTAATTCTCTTATACTGAGACGCTATATATTCCTTTACCATCTCCTAAAAGTGTGCACAAAATCATTAGCATCTTCAAGGCTAACCAGCATGTAGGTACGTATACTGAGTGTCTCTTGATGACTTATGGACACGTTTTGCTGGTCGTTCGGGCAAATAATCATCACATCCTACATATCCAGCTACTGGCTAATTCCACGAGATCTGTCTTTCTATCCGAATTACTCCAATTATTACCTCCCTCAAAGCTTTCCAATAGAACATTGATGTATGTCGATTGCAGGGGGCTTTATGTAGGTAAATACATGTACTGATACATTTACTGCAGCTGCCGAAGTCATACCGTATATCATCCCATAGAGACTTACCAGTTGTATTTCCGTGACCGAAAATGATGTCAAAGTTTTATAAACCCTGTCTATAAATCTTTGGATAAGATCAATGCAGACCGTACGGGATGAGCTTTCTGTGGCCCATAGCCCTTGATCGGGGTCTCCTCCTACCCCCAACAACAATGCAAGGCTGTGCGATCTATTGGATTATTGAGACTTTGTTGAGTTTCATTTAATGTACTTTGGAAACTTCAAACCAGTATGAAAACCTATTGCATTAAGCAGTGATCACGATAAAGGCTGCGATCAGGAATGTTAAGAGAAAAGGAAAAAAAGTATTCTTCATCTGTATATGTCGTCTAGCTCAAGACTTCTTTTGCTGGAGTGCTAATTCCAGCCACACTTATGAAATTTGACTGAGTGATCCACCATGATCCTCGCCTATCAAAATCAAAAATCCTCCACCAACCAAAAAAAAAATAGTCCCAGTGCACAGCAAACTTTGTTTTGGGGGTCGAGGACGAATAGGAGCAAGTATGCATGCAAGCAAGTACCCCGCTCTTGTGCGGGTGGATCTTCTTATCCTACCGATCTTTTCACTTGTCAGACCTTCGAGAACAGTATCATGTCTTGTGACGTCTCTCCTCCATGTACCGCCAAAACTCGAAAAAATTGGCTATGCATACAAGATCAAACTTGCTACAAAGGGATACTTCTGAGGCTGATCGATACCTTTCAGCCAATCGTTTTAGAGATAATTCCTGGGCGAGTTTTGGCGATATCTGATAGCATGTAACATCATTCGTCCACATCCATATCATTTATCCGGATCCATGAAAAACGCCCTGCATGACCTACCCGACTTTTCTTTCTTTCCCCGAAACGCACATCTTAGACGGTGTGGTCCGTGCTTTGAATTCTGAGGACGTCTAGAGCTCAACACTGATTTGCCTAGTAATTACATACATGTACCTCGAGAATAGTGGGGGACGCTCCGGCGTGTGGTCGTGAAGTGTGTTTGGAGCGCGCGTGTACGCAAGTAAGATATGCGGGCTCAGTCACAAACTCCATGTATCATCACGTAGCTTATAGAGTGATAGGAATCTATTATAAAGTAGCCCCGGTTTTCCGAATTGTAGGCACTAGAAGTTTGATATATTGTAGCTGCGGGGTCCGTACTCTAGTATCACCACATCGCATGCGGTCAATCACTAAGACAACTCCAATTGGGATAATCGAAGAGGAGGAGCACTCATACATTGCAAGTGAGATTGCGCAGTGCACTGAAAGGATCAAAATTATTATTTCATGTCACTTTTCACAACACAAAGCGACGTTATAACGTTACTAAGCCTACTGTAGTAATTCTTGCGTCTGGTGACAGTATTCTCGTGCTCTACATACCATCTGAAATGATTTGAGGGAGTGTTTTCATGCCTGATAAGCTGTTATTGTACTCTCCCAGAAGCTGATTTGAACCAATACTTGAACCCGGCTGCTGGAACGCATGAATTGTGAACATCGATGTCTTACAAGTAGCCAATTAGGCCTTAGTCAATTAAACCAATTGCAACACAACGTTACTACCTCGCCTTGATTCGATGTTCTTATACTTAAGAAGCCAACCCCCCAGCAATTTAATTGTATCCCATAGCTAGCTGGTTACTCCGCGGCTGCACAAGGGGAATTATACGTACTTGTACATGTACATTCATGACCACCACGGCCAACAACAACAATTAACAACAACACTACCCCTCCTCTTGCTCTACGCTACTTCCCCTCCACCGCTAGACACAAGATAATGCACTGTAAAATCAAATTATAATAATAATATAAAAAAAAGGGCTTGCACTGACGTGTCCCATCACGAGGCTCTTGTCAAATTTATGCGGTTGCATCTGTTCTGGCTTGATTTCCATTAGGTAACATTAGCCCCGGGGTCAGGATCCTATTTGCAAGCGGCAGTGTGCATGGGACGTTACGGCCAGTTACGTGCGTCATAGCGCACATACCTACTCAGTGTTCTAGGGTTTCTTATCTACGGGAAAATTCACTGGCTCAGATAGAGCTTTGTTCGGGAGTCTTGGCTGGGTTAGAATGTCAATCTCTTCCGATCGACAGTGAGTTTAATAGAGCACTATCGGAGACCTCAGGGCCCTTCACGTTCGGGCTGAGGGTACTAATACAGACACTTGAAATAAAGACTATGGTTTTGAAACCAGTTTCTCGAAAGTTGGTATTATGTTTGCGTTATTGTGTCTGTGAAACTATCATTTAACCAATTGGCATAAAGCAGAAACCGAACGTTTATTATACGGTACTATAGTCTGTCGAGTGATGTATTGTGAAGCATACTCATAGATTTCTGGCGTTTCCGGACGCAACTGCTATTGCATGCCATACAAAAGGTAGCCTTGGCGGGGTTTTCTGTATATGCAATAGCAGTTGCGCCCGGAAAAGCCAAAAAACTACGAGTATCAGGAAGGGACAAGAGCTGCACGACTCGACGCACGTAACGATAATCAAAGGTAGTACGAATGGAGGTTTTGTATTCTAGAAGTACGCCGGTCTTGATCAGCTTGAGATATGCACTAAGGTGTTGATTGGACTGGGGTTCTGAATCCCGTCCGGATTTGCAAGTGAATATCGAATATTGACAGTGGGCATTAGAATTTTCTGTCACTCGGATGTAACCAAACTCTCGGGGAATTCCTCAAGCTTGGTATTCCAGCTACCAGGCTTTACCATTGACATGTGCAAAACGTCTTTGACTGCCTGATAATCATCTTACTGTGAACTGACGTTCTAGGGTCTGCAGCTCTGGATCTAGATAACACTTTAAATCCCAACTTAAAGCTTGGCAGTGCCTTAATATCGGTGACACTGTACTGTACGTACGGTCGTTTGGGGTCAGTAGCCGTACTACGATATTTAAAGAACATACATTTAATTATAAGTACACGTAGTTGCTATGTACATACAAGTACGTACATGCATGTGTGTACTCATGTATCTACCCACAAAATTACAGGTGATTCTACCGCCGCTCGACGACTCTCGACCGGGATCTCCATAAACGTTTAACGTGGGAATGATTGCGAGGACAAATTCGGGTTAATGGTTTTGCGCACTGACTTTAAGCCTCAATTGCAAGTTTGCGGGCCAATCCCTTTTCCCTTCGAAATTACGAGACCCCTACCTTCAAATTTCCGATTTATGTGCTTCGAGGGGTGACGGACTGCACCCTACATGATGTAGCCACCAGTAACGTAACATCTACTTGTAGATGTATGAGATGAAATCATACGGTTCCATACCCCTAAAATTGGATATATGCTACAAGTGCTTACATGTAGTTATCGAACTGATAATATATTTGAATTTTGAAGTTCTTCATAGTGGCGATACGTACATACTTTAGTAGCCTACAAAATATGTTTCTTCCACCGTGTCATGAAGTCATGAAGTACATACATGCATATAAAGTATGGTACGATGATCTGACAGCCGTGAACCCGCGACCGCGACAGCTTCCGATCCTACATAACGCATAAGTGGTACTAATCTGTAACCCTGACCGGCTGTAAGCGATGTGAATTATTGCCAAAGGGCTCAGTGTTCCACAATTTTCTTGGCAAAACTGCCTGAAGTATTTCAAAAAAGGACCCTGAACTCTAAGACAATGTGGTGGAGTGGTTAACACGTTCGCCTGCTATGGGTCGCCAAAGTGAGCGGATGCCTTCGGGCACGCAAGTTCGAATGTTGCCGTTGTCGTCGCATATTCTTTGGTTCGCTATCCTTTGACTTAGTTTCCAGATTTCTCAAGAGAGCATGTAGCTGTAGTTAAGCTCGGATGACAAGCTCGAGCTCTTAGGTGATTGGAAAGACTATATTCTAAAGGCTTCTATGTGGACCCGTGCACAGCGGTCATGAGTTGAAGTTGATTAATTGCATGCAGTGTGGGGTTTCAGTGGTTAGATACCCCGTTTTTAGACTTCAAGAGAATTTGTGGATTTGATTTAATTACATGTATAAATGTCAAGTTGGCTATTTGGACTGCCTCATCAAGGGTGATAATTACATGTAGAATATACACATACAATGTACACCCGGAGGTATATTAATTCAGTGTAAGTCCCTTTGTATAGGGTTTGAGAACTTACTTGTAGTTTCGATCACATAGTCTCACTCGCAACATATGGACAACATGTAGTATATAACGGCCATCTTATTATTATAGCTACCAAGAAAGATACGACAAAATAACCTTCATAATATTAATATCAAGTGGCCATTTAGGCAAGCCTGTTGTCTGTATTATACTATATCGATACTACGTTGGCTTTGGGGACTAATTTCCCTGTTAAAGCTTACAAAGCCTATGTATCCACATGTTGGAGCCGATGCTTCTTCAGGTTCGAATGTGTCTCCCTTAAGGGGCGATAAATCCCCTATGCAAACAAGTGCCATGCAAAGTCCATGCGTGTTCAAATCTCCGCCATTCGATCTAATTGGCGATGGACTGTCGTTTATAATTAGTCTCCAGACATAAATTTCTTTGTTACTTTGATAGTACTATCATGCACCACCACATATCTGTGGAATATGTAGGTACATACCAGGATTAGTGATGTGATGTCCCAGCGAGCGCGACCTGTCATATGCAGCCGCACGTCTCTTCATTCGCGCTGCCAAGATACATAAACCAACTTTTCGTCTCAGCCCTATAAGTTTTAACATATATTTAAGCGCCCCTACCCCTACCCGGGATGGAATATTCTCCTTCGGTGTTTTCTGAGGAATGGATGGGTGTATGCACCCGGGAGATGGGAGACAAGTGATATAACAATGTTAATGGAGGGATCAAGAGAAGCCGGGATTGTAAAGTGTGGAATCGACAACCTGGCTACCGACTTCAGATCCATACAGCTATGGTAAAGTGCACCAAATCCTTCCAACTTCTGCACTTTACTCGTTTTTATGGGTCCCAAGAGTGTTTTGAAGTTTGGTGGCAACCTTGGGATTATGGTCGGGGTGTAAACGGCAATACGATGTTAATATTTCTCCATTACCAATAATAGCCGAAGGTAGAGGAACGAAGGGAAGAGTAGAGCTACCCGCGGCCGAGGAAGGTGCTTGCGATATGATGGATGGAGCCCCAGGAGTTATTTTGATATTGACATAATGTGCTGAACACCAAATTAGTATATAGGGCCTAAAAGTTAAGGTCAAAAATAGAGACGGGGAGTGATCATTGACCTTTGCAAAAATATATTCTGGAAGTATTCACCTGTCTAGAGGCTTAAACACGTGTCTTATTGTGTTACTTGCATCAAAGATAAAGGATTGGTGTACCATTGAGAGTCTAGCACTGTAAATATCTATAATCACTGTATACATGTAGTCTACCGAAGCGGCCTGTCAAGTCCGATCCAGGAGCTTAGAGATTACTAACTGGGACGAACATGTGTTCAATAACCCTCGAATTGAAATGAAATTATCGTTAATAGCAAGTATGCTATCAAGAAGAAAAAACAGTGTTATACTGTTCGTACTTCTCATAGCAGACCAGTTATTGAAACGTCATTGGAAATTGTATACACACCGAAACGACGTGTTTTACTGGTAGATTTTTCGAGTTGGTACCCGGATATATACGTATACTCGGGATTTTCTACATTCTCGGTACCATTACCGGGTAGTAAATTGTGGTTATAGATTTAGGCGTTGACACACGTACACCTCCAGCGCTTTCCCGAAAAATGGACTTCAAAAGTCCACAACGGCTCTAACAAGAACAAACCGTTTTGCTATCCTTAAACAGTTAGACCAAGTTGCAAGATTCTAGAATGCGGGGGGGGGGGGGTTGAGTTGAGCCCTAAATGAACCATTTTCTCAATGTGTTCGTTTTAGAAGGCTTGTTTGTGGTATGTAGACAAGGAAATTTGAGGCTCACCATTACAAGTGGGCACATCGAAACAAAGAAGACCTTTCCTGGTACTGGCACTGGAGTGCAGATGCGAGGACCAAGGTGATTGGAGGCGTGTGTAAGCCCACGTTTCCTTCTTAACGTCTGTCTCAACCGGATGCGTCGATTCGTCACCAAAACGGGCAGCTCGGCCAAGCAAGATACCGTCATACGTCATTCTCCATCCACACTTAATTTACAAGCAGACCGGGGGTGTGTGGGGGATCTAGCCAATGGTATGCGAGAGCGACGCCTCCTGACTAATGGGGATTGAACCGCGTGTTGGATAAGTTCGAATCCTCAAGCTTGCCGCTCCTCGCACGCAAGCATACCTTCGTCATCGACGACACACTTCAGCGATTGATCCCTAGCAAAATTTCGACTCTCTACTGCCAAATTTACTTACATTCACGTTTATCATCTTTTGCAATAAACCACATACTTTTCCCCTGTAATTCATCCGGTATATGCGTTTATCCCTTTGTCGTCTAATCTATCTTTGCCTTTGACTTTTTGTTCTCTTTGATCGAGAGAGAGAGAGAGAGGGAAAAAAAAAAAAAAAAAAAAGGAGGCACACGAACACTGTGTCGGCAGAAGGAACCCCTACGTCAGCGGTCTCCCCCTTATCACCCACTACAACCACCAAAATCCCAGCGACATCACACACCACCACACCGCTTCTACGAACAACGCCAGAGCCGCGGACCAAGCACCACCGGCCCGTTGACAGCTTGAGCCCTGCTTGTACCGTATATTCGGATTCGGCTTACATTTTCGTCTTGCTGTCGTTCTTTTCACGGGAAGGAAAAGGTTGATCTTTGAAGGTTTACGCATAGAGACCTGCGATATTCCCCACCAAGCAGCTGCTAAGTAAGTGTGAGTTCACAACTCGTCCCTTTCCCCGTTCTCACCCCTCACTCGCCTGGCTTCCTGTTCGCCACACTTTCTCCCCGAGCGTCGTTTGGTGTCTCCGCGAACCGTCAACCAATACCCACGGTGATCAGCCTAGCGGGAGGCCCGAGAGGATGGTGGGTTAATTGCTAATCCATCGTGCTAATTCGTCCCTTCCCCCCTCCAGGCAGGAAAGCCAGTCTTCCTCCCTTTCCCCTCGAGTGATCGTACCCTTTTCCCTTTCCCTCTCAGAAATAAACTTGCGACATCGACCGCCACCCTCTAATCATCCCCCCGGAATCTTGCAGAATCCGATCGGTATCTTGATAAAAGAGAGAGAAAAATTAAGCGTGTTTTGCAAGAGCGCGTGTCCTGCCAGATATTAAAAGAGAAGAAGAGAAAAAAAATTGGTTATTGTTTCCACCGCTAAGGTAGCTTCTGCAATCGGGGAGAGACCCTTCCAGATAGAGATCATCGTCATCATCACTACATCACACCCCCCCCCCCCCACCCACACACATCACTTCTAATTCACTTGTATCCCTCCCAACCGGTCAAGGAAGCATCATCCATCTTATCGCCCACTCAACCAAGAAACCCAACATCAAACTCCCTTAATCGCCACAAAAAATCGTCATAGAACATCCTCAACTATGTCAGCGGCTGTAGCAGCCAGACAAGGTGGTACTGCTCACAACGGAAACTCGAACTCGAATTCTCGTATGGGCACAGGCTCTCCAGTTGATACTAAGAGAAATGTTAAGGGCGAAGGTATGTTTATTGTGTGGGCACAGTTTTCATCGTTCGTTTCAAAACTATCTTCCTCTTATGGTCATCACATCCATTGTATTGTAAACGGTTGATGATTCTTGCGCGACACAACCGAGTATCAACAACAACAACGTAATGCATATGTGCTAACCCGTGATGAAACTTATTTCAACCTCAACGGATAGATAAACATTCACGACCCTCATCTACGTCTTCTTATAATCAACGAGACTCTTCCAAAATTGGTTCTCCAAAACAGACTTCCCATGCGCAATCACTTGCATCATCAAATACTTCGAGCTCGCTACATCCACCTCAAGTATCGATAAATCAGCCACCAGATATTTCGAATCCTGCGCCAAACCCCTCTAATCCTTCAAACTCATCCCCGAATCAACATGTTAAACAGGCACCGCGCTCCCTTCCCCCACCCCCACCACCAGGTCAGTCCCAGAGAGATACTCCCGGAGACTACTTTGCTATCAACCACCACAGTCGCCTCGACCAAGAGCCAAACGTTTTTGAACAATCATTTGCAAACCCAGGAACAACCCCTAACGACCCTCTAGCAACGCCCAAGGCAATTCTTCCGCCTGTAACAGCTATAACATCCCCTGCTTCTTTGCTACCAGGGGGTCATCTCAACTGGGGTATCAACTCTCTCAGGTCTGGGCCGCTATCCCCTGCTATGCTGCAGGGACCTACAACTGGTTCCGGTGGAGTTGGGACTAGCAGCTCATTAGGGTTCGAATCACATATTCGAACTGGGTTAACACCCAACGAGTCGGGTATCAGGAGTGGATTGACTCCCGGAGGATCTGGCTCTATGTTTGCCCAACCCCAAAATACCATGTTTCAATTTGCCACCAGTGGTGGTGGGACTACACCAGGGACTTTAGAATTCCACAAGACAGCTATATCTGCCGTGCGAAAGGGTCTGCCTGGTATGAGTACCTCTCAACACATTTCAGTGAAGCCCGAAGATACTTCATCTAGCCATAATGATCACGATCAAAAGCCCCGACAACACTCAGACCCATACCATGGTTCCGATCCAGCTCATAATGCTGCGAGTGGCCTGTTCTTGTTAGCCCAGGCTCAGCACCAACAAGGTGATAGCGCAACTGCGTCGATGGTCACATCA